GAGAAGATAAACCCGAAATACACACAAAAATCGAAAACGCCAAAGTAAATGTGTCGGCGGAATTCCTGGGGCCTGAGGATGCCAGGCACTTGGTCGGGCCAAGAGGCCTCTCCGACCAGGCTCAGTCCACAGCCAAGTACTAAACTTGTTTGAAACTTTCCACTGACAGGGGGTAGAGGAGCACACTGGAGGGGGTGTTGCTCTTTGGGGGACTAGAGGATCCAATGCAGTAATGCATTTTTTCTTTTCTGTTTTATTTTTTAGAAATTATGGATTACCTGTAGGAAGGTGGAGAGAATGATGGCAGGGAAATTGCTGGCAAATTTGAAAAGATCTGCAGAAATGTAAAAAGAAAATAAATGAAAGAAAAAGGTTTGTCTGACGATCCATTGATTGGGTGTGTACTGGAGGTGCCCCTCTAACCATCATCCGAAGTTGCGATTTCAAAAGATTCTTCTATCAATATCTTTCAGAATTTATGAAGTGTTCTTTAGAGTATACGTAAAGACTTTCTGGCATCACTTTAAATGCCATTCCCTATATCTTAAAACAAATTCGAATGTTGCCCCCACACCCTGGTCAAAGTAAAAGTTCAATGTTTCCACCTTCAAAGCCTTTCGATTTGGTCAAAGGGAAAGTGCATTGGATTCGGGTACGCCTCCTCCGATTGCCATTCTGATCTGCATTTTGGGAAGAGGGGAACAAATTTGCTTGCATCTTTGACCAAAAAATAAATGAAAACCAAAACAATCGAATCGGAATCGGAATCCGAATGCAGCAGAAACATTTCTTATTGAAATTGAATGCAGCAGCGACGCAAATAAACATGAGGAGCAAAAATGGCAGAGAGAGAGAGAGAGAGGGGCGCAGAAAGAGAGGGAACTAGACTGCAAGCCAAACATCTGAAGATGCGCCATAAAACTAGCCAACAACAGGCATCGGCCAGCAGCAGCAGCAGCTTCTTCTTCCTCCTCTGCCACTGCTGCTCGTAACTATGGGCCCCAGCAAACCGAACAAACCAAACCATGCCCATTCCCAACATGCCATGCAACATTAGAAAACTGCAACCCAACAGCGGCAGAGCTGTGGCAGCAGCGATGCAGCAGCAGCAACAACAACAACTGAACTAAAGCGACGGCGACAGCGACGGCGACAGCGACAGCGAGAAAAGCGAATGAACCGAGCAGCTGCACAGTGGGCGCAATTCGTGCAAGGCCATGGCAAACATTTGGTACGCGGAAACAGCCAAAGCAAAAAACGAAAGACATGGTGTGAAAAGGAAATAAATATCTTTGCTGACAGATAGATCGATAGATATCATAATTAGATAAGTAGTATCAGCGCCAGTAGATGGTCAAGTAGCTTCATAATATTTGTTATGTTCTCCCCTTTCAGAATGCACTGTGATTTCGGATAAAACCATTCCATGGTATCAATCTCCGACTTCCGAAATTGACCCACTGTGCACAGTCTCAGCCAGCGTCGCCGTAGACGGAGAGTGTATGCATCAAAAAAACAGACAGTAAATCTGATTGTTTGGGGTAATTGAACTTTCTTAAGAAATTGCGACATGTACACTTTGAAAAGCTCTGGATTTGCGGGCAGCAGCAGTAAAGCGCAGCACAGCACAGTGCTGTGTGCTGCAGCTGCACCAGAGCAGAAGCAGCAGCAGCCGAAGCAGCAGCAGAGCAGAGCAGAGACAGCGGCAGCACACAAATGTACGCCAATGACCGAGTTCGGGTGAAAGACCTTCGATAACCATCGTCATCATCATCATCACCATCGTCGTCATCGTCATCATCATTGCAGTTGCAGAAACGGAACGCCACAGAGAATGAGAGAGAGAGAGACCGACCAGCAACATCATTATCATCATTAGCGAGTGGAGTAACGTGCTCCATCACTGGCTGCGACGCTGGTCTCTGTGTCTGGGCCTCTTTCCCCACTCTGCCTGTGCCAATGCTTTGGTAGTCAATGCACTAGCAGCCCCAACAATAACAGAGAGAAAATAAAGACACTGAGAGAGCGGCACAAACAGAGCGAATGAGTGAGTGTAAGTAAGAGAATTCATTGAACTAAATTTAGCTTTTCTGCTTGTTCTGGCGCTGCTCTCTTTCACTGTCACTCACTCAGGCAGTCTATCTGTGTGTGGCAAAGCGTGGCTCTCTCTGTTTGCAAAAGCGCGGGAGTTGTTGCTGTCTCATGCATTGCATTTACACTGTTCTGACTCGCTCTCTCTCTCTCTGTGCGTGTGTGTGTGCATTTCGAGGTGCATTGCAAGACCTCTACAAAGGCTAAACGCCGAGTGTTGTTTTTATTTTACGCGCGCATGTCGTTTACACATATGTGTGAGTGCATGTTTGGGGGCTATTGAGATAGGCGCGCGCTATTTGTCGCTCAAAATGCATCTCAAACTGCATTCGTGGAGCCTTGAGTGTTTAGTGCGGCACGTGTTGGCAGTTTGACAAGAACTAAACGCTTAGAATGCTGCTAAAACTGTGGGATTCTGAAGGCAACTGTAAATTACGATGGGATTAGTAATGAATGCGGCTGCTATGAGGGGTTTAGGAATCCTTGGAATGGTCTATTTACAATGGAATTTTATGTGGAAGAAGAGTTGGGTTGGTTTTTATGTATTATTGAAAAAAGACCTTTAAAATGTACAAAAAATATGACAGCGATGAGTAATTCTTAATCTTGAATGAGTAAGTTGAGGACTTTAGCAAATTGTAAAAGAATACTCTCCGATTTCGATTATACAACACCATTCAGGGTACTACCTTGCGTAGTTCTAGATCCTTCTCGAATCCATTCATCATTTAGATTCGTTAAAAATTGTTGGTGGTAAAGTAGTATTTTAGCAAATTTCAAATTATGATGAAATTTTAAAAGAGTCGGTTGCCCTAATAACTGCTTTTAACATTCATTGTTTTTGAAAAATTCTAGAAAATTATTTACAAAATTGCTGCTCTGCTTTATGCCTGCTTCAAGGGATTGCAAAAGCTGTGGCACTTGGGAAGACCCTTGAATGACTGGGAGAACAACTTTTGGGTTCAACTATCGTGGGGCGGTTCCTTGAACCCTTCTCTTCCCTGAGCTGTTGTATTATACAACTGGAATTCAGTGAATTTTTTCGTGTTGATTAACTTCTAGCCTTCACAGAATCGCAGCCAAGAGCAAACTTTTGTTGATTCGCCGCTAAAGTGAATGTACCCCAAGCACCGGCGGCACGGCGTCAATGCACGCTCTGCCGTCGTCTGCCGTCAGAAGCAATGACACTGATCCTGGCGTTGACCTCTGCCGGAGCGGACAGGGCCGTCGACATACTCAGGCGGGCAGCAGGCTGTTCGGGGGGTACAGTCCATCAACTCTGTGTGGCTGGTGTATCCAACACATCTGGTTCCGTCTCGTCTCTCTCGCTCTCTGCCTGTTGCTGTTTGTTTCGCTTTTTGGCAATGACTTGAGTATTTTTTCGGTTTCGTTTTCGTAGCGAAGCCTGATTTAGGTTCGGTTCTACGCGCTCATGTTATTTAATTATTATGCTTAAAGCTCTTTTTTTGGGCAAGGTCATTGAAAAAGTGTTGGTATTGTGCGGCATAGCACGGCACTTCTCTTCTGCTCTGCTTTGCCGCTGCTGCTGCTGCTGGCTTCTACTTTTCGTTTCTGCGGCCGCTCATTCGGTCTCAATCAAGGTGAGTCACCTTGGCCTTATTTTCGAGCAGCGCACTCTTTGCTTCTGCTGCTTGCCTGCCTGCCTGCCTGCGCGCATGTGTGTGTCGTCTCACTCACGCATTGCCAAAAAAGCTCACGACGTCGACAGAGGGCAGAGCAGCAAGTAGCCGCTGCAGAAGCAAAGGCACAAGGCAGACCAGAGCAGAGGGAGAATCAACAGTTGCTGCTGGCATTGTGGAAGGTCATGATTTTTTCGGCAATGGTATGGGTAAGACAGAGAGGAGAGCTCGGTGTGTGCTGGCTGTGCTGTGATGTGGCTGTGCGCTGGCTGGCATTTGCCGTGTCGCGTAGCGTCTCAATCTGAAACTGAATTTGATTTCCTTGCTCTTGGAACTGACTGTTGGAGTGGAGTGAAGTGGAGTGTGCTGCTGGTCGAGAGCTTTTTTTTGATCAGATTTATGGCTCATAAAGGTCTTTGTGCACCCTAACTATGGCAGGTCGTAATCATGTTTGAGTGAGAACTCTTGTAGAGCGGAATGCTATTGCCTTTTGACCTTTATTTTGGGGCTGGGGCAATTTTGTTCGATTTTAAAAGAATTATAATCATTTTCAGATCATTATTCTTTCGAAGCATAAAGCCCCCAAATACTTAACAAAACTCTTAAAATATTCTGTATTTTGTGTGCCTGATTTACATTTGTATTAAGTTAGTTTAAGCTGCTTTACCATTGATACCCTTCCTTTTGTTCACGATTTCTTTATACAAGTCCCATCGACAGTAGTGTATAAACGCTTCGTTTATGCCTGGAACAAAGCACACTTGACATTTTTCATTGTTAGTTGGCTTTTTGATTAATCTCTCGACTGCCTCGCTGGCTTTGGGCACGTGCTGGGGGCAACAGTGGCAGAGCCCTTGCCATTTTAGGCCTACGTTCGGTAAATGTTTGTCACGGTTTTTTTTCTGCGGCTTCTTTCGTGCCACTTGAGCCCCCAGAAAATGCATAATTAAAACATATTATATTCATAAACGAAAACGTACGAGCAGAAACCGAGAGCCACGACAGCTCGGACTTGCACTTGGCCTTGCCGGAGTCGAACGCTTCGCTCGGTTTTGTGGGTCTTTTCGCCTTGAACCTCGTCAATGTGCCGAATTGTATGTATGAATGCTGTGGGTAGGTGGCAAAATGGGGGGCAGCGAGGTAGCAACCGAGAGTGAGAGAGACAGAGAGAGAGAGAGAGAAGTTCGAGTTGAGGCAGCAGTATGTGCTTTTGGCTGGGTTTTTCGTCAATGTTTAGGTTGAACTTGCCGCAAGCCGCAGAGCAAACAGCCAGCAGCACCAGCCACAGAATGCCAAGAAAACAACGTAGTAGTTACCAAAAAAAAACAAAACTACAACAAAAAATTACGCGGTCGCAGACCTACAGAAAACCAAACGTGACTTAAGGTTAGCCATCATATCATATGGTGTATCTATCTGTACGTACATATCTGTGTATCTGTGAGATACATCGGCACGAAGCATCTGCTGCTGCCGCTGGGGTATTTTTTGGGTTTTTTTTTGTCTGTTTCGCTCCTCCAATGCTTCATTTTCATATTTTTTATATCAGGGCACATAACTTTTAGAACTTGTTTAGATGACGGCTCAAAGCCAAGCCAAGCAGCAGCCCTCAGCCCCAGACCCAGACCCAGACCCAACACCAAGGCTGCATGTCTGCCCCAAGAGCAGCGGAATTCAACAAATATTTCCACAATTGGTCGCTGTTAAAGGCATCGAGTGGATTTCTTTTGATTTGTCTAAGGTTGCCCACCACCGCCCCCCCTTCATTGTCTTCGTTCTGTTCTGGTGTGTAACTTTATCAAGCTTTGGGGGTCGGTTATCAGCCAAAGGCAAAAACAAACAAACAAAAGATCAGCGGGGGGAATTCGATTCTTGGCTTAGTCGAAATTGATTGCGCAGATGGATTTGATTTGACTTTGGCCACGTTCTACTACATTGAAGAATTCACTACGTAAATCACACTGTTGAATGGTCTTGAATGGGAGCACAGAAGTTGGGTGGAGGTGATTAGGGGGCCTATACTATTTAACGCTGCAAAGCAATATTCTCACTGGGCCAAGACAGATAAGGAAATAGTCTGAAGCTAATCGTAAATCAAGTAAGTTTTTACCTGTTGGAGTATTCAGTGTATCTAATATTTCTTTTAATATATATTAGCTCTCTAAAAGTAATCCTTCAATGTGCATTAATTGTACTTATTTCAAAGTAGAACCAAACCCTTTCTGGCCTTACCCTGGTGTTGGGTTTGGGCCCACTCCCAATAACTTGTAGCTTTATTTTAGAGGCGAACAATTGAAACAGCACCCAATGCGGGATAGTACTACTATCCGCAGCAGCACCTATTGCTAGAGAGTATCTCATATCCATATGTGTGGTGCGGTGTAGTGTGCTGTTCGCCTGCCTGCCTGACTGCCTGACTGCCTCTCTGTATAGACAATACTTAGATACGTACGAGTATAGTATTTTGAATGGTTGCGCTTTGTATTGGCCTCCGAGTGTGTCTAGAGCTTCAATAGCAGGCCAGGGTCATGCGACATGGGAGGGAAAAACTGAACTAACGCGAAACTGAGCGAACTTGCCCCTGTATACGAGTGTGTGTTTGTGCTTATGGTATCTGTGAGAGCGAGTGTGTGTGGTGTACGTAGTGCCCGTTATCGGAAGAAAACGCCAAAAGCTCGCGTTCATTGCCTTTGCAAACGTTTTCGATTCTCCCTCGCTCTCTTGCTTTTGTTATGCTGTGCCTCTCCTTCTATTTGTCTATCTGCGTATTGTTCTCCCTTTTTTGCAGCGCAAAGTGTTGCCTGCCTCCCCCTCTCCGATTGAGCATTAGAAATAATCATAAATATTTGTCTGATTGGAAGCGTAGATCAAGAAGGAGAGGGATAGAGAGAGAGAGAGAGTCCCGAAAGGGAAGCTCTGTCATAGCGCAGAGGGAATCTTATCACTAGGGAACTCAGGGCTATCTTTTTTTTTCTTTTCGTATTTTAATGAATTTTATTTGCGGCGGGTTCTATTTTCGGGCAATGGGAATGAGAATGGGGAAATGTTTTTTCGGTGAGGCTGGTCAGTAATTCTGATCCGCGTTAATACTCGTACTCGTACTCGCACAGCTCTTACCTCTCTGACAGATGTCAAGGGATTGTTCATGGTATGGAAAGGGTCTAGTGGTCAGCCAGCGATATTTATTGCATATGCCCTCCCCTACCCTCACGAAGGTCGCATGCATAATTTCGACTTGCAAATCTCTACATCTCTTGGCCTTTGCGACTTGGTTTACCCACAAAAACCAAAGCCCAAAATGAAACTGATTGACATGTTAATGCAATAAAAAATAAAGCATAATTTATTTAGCTGTTGATGGCGAATTTTAACGTCGGTCGGAATCGAATTCTGTTAATTGGTTAATATCCAAAATTTAAGTCTTAACTGGGCCATGGATCGGATCGATGCACGGGTCTGTAATTCTAGAAGGCAGCCACAAAAACGGAATCTATGAGTATAGCAAAATCAATTCAACAAAAAACAAACTGATGTTCTTGCAGTATCAAAGTTTTGCGAACTTTGTGTTTTTTTTACTTCACCCCAAAAACATTGGACATTAGTCACGATCGATATAACGAAAATATGAAAGAAAATAAGGAGAAGCCCAGAAATGGTGTTGGAAAATATGTAAAAGAATGAGACATAAAGGAAAGTATACTCGAAAATTAAAACAAAGAAGAGCTTTTGATAATAATATACACATTTCTATATTATAGTTTCCGTTTTTCTTTACCTTTCATTTTAGTTTTATCCTAAGAACCAATTCCCTCCCATTTGTGTAACTTGATGCCGTTGGCATTCTAAACATTTAATAACCATTGCACTATAAACCATGAATATTGCATATTTTAGCCATATGAATTTATGTATGATCCGATCCCCCATCCACCGACAGCCGATGACGAAATACAAATATATAAAAAGCTTTTTCGCGCCATTCGCTTCCTGCATTCGGGGGCGACTGCTAGCTGGCTGGCTGCAGCAACTCCCCCCGCAATCGAATCGTATGGCGAATGCAACGCTGCGTACGAGCGATCTGCACCCTCATAGTTCTCGGCAATAAAAATGTAGTAACTTACCATTTCAAGCAAAAGTAATCCAATTGGCGGTGTATCCATTATGTTTCAGCATGCAGCAGCAATAAATAACCATTCAATATTAAATGTTTCTAGTTTTTCTTGGGGATAGATATTTGTGTGTGTTTAAGAACCGATTTCCACTTGCACAGAAAAAGTTGTTGTTTATGTAAATATTTATTTGGATAAACTTTCAGGCACTTGTTGGTTGGTTGATTTGTGGGTGGGACGATTGCGGGTCTGGGTCTGGGACGGGGGACCAGGGACTCGAATTACACAAGACTCTCTCTCACTCTCTCTCTCTCTTTCTTGGCTCTCAAATTAACTGCCAATTTTCAATAGCATTTTCATGACATTCACAAAATCTTCGAGATTTAAACCAGCGGCTCTTTTGTAGCGCATTTTTATGGATTAAACAAACGATCGCATCGGATTGGATCGGTTGAGGATTGCACTTTTGATCGGGGGATCTTTTCCACAGCAAACCGTTTAATTAGCGGTGCGGCGCGACGGTGACGGCGACCAACACTGACAGTGGACACGGCTGCTGAGAGGGCGCGGGTGGAGGCACACACGCTTTTACAGTTACGTTTTAACAATTGATTTATGTTGTTTGTGCCTTGTGTTGTTGTTGAAAAGCGAAGGTTTTTTCTCTGTACATTTGCTTAGCTCTTTTTATTTTTTGGGGGAAAATTGCGTCCGTTACAACCAGCCGTCAAAAGGCAACTAAAGCTTTATTTTTGCACACAACACACCGACGGACTGCACTCAGAAGCAGACAGAGGCAGAAACAGCGCGCATACGCACACACACACACGGACAGCGGTGGCAGAGAAACGAAACACGCGCGAGTTTGCTCAAGTTCATGAGCATGCAGAGAAAGAGACAGAGTGAGAGACCAGCTGTGTTTGAGTGTGAGTGCGAGAGTGAGCTTAAGAGAGCAGCTGCAGTTGCTCTCACGCGAAAGAGAGAACAAAAGCATGCAAATTGGAAAAACAGTTCGTTTGGCGATATTCATTTCGTCATTATAGCGCGACCTTACGGTTTAAGGTTTATATACTTTCGGGGATATATTAACCACGAAAATGGGTTAAATTTACGCTATATCGGTGTTTAATATTCAAGAATATAGGGTATCGGGACTCCCACATGCATCGATATTCATTTCGGAAAAAACGCGAGCCTTAACCAAAGTGAAACATGAAATTGCTACCTTAAAAGTGAACAGCTGTACGTTGTTTTTACCGGCTATTTATTGAAACAAAAACATAAAATGCATACAAACGCGAAACTTAAGTGAAATCTTTGATGGAACCATATTCTCTATATATAACATACAAAGCGTGCCTGAAAGTGTATGGAAAATCGAGTGACGCGCGCGGCTCCTTCTCTATGTGGTCTTCAGCGATGTTGGAATCTTGGGCAAACCAAACTCGTCCGTCTCAATGCCAGTGGCAGTCTATAAAAGACGAATCAAAAAAGTGTTAGCTCATCCGCGCAGTGGTTCTTGTGAACAGTGTAAAAACCTTTGTCGGCACGATGCTGTCGGCGCCTGGCTCTCGACTCGGAGCCTCGGGTGCCTTGACCACATCGTCCAAATAGCTGGAATCATCATCCAATGCCATTTCGTCGCCCAAGGCATCCAGCTCTGCCTGCAAGTCATCATCATCCACCTCGGGCATGCCGTAGGTGCGGCCCAGAGCCTCCTGCACCTCATCCGCCTGCTCGAACATGTCCGCCATGTCATCTTGGATGTCCTGCAGGCAGAAAGTAACGTTAACAGGTATGTCATAGTATATAGAATTGATATGATTCCCACCTCGATTTGATCAATATTGATCTTTTTGTATTCGGTCTTCATCTGCTTGACGCCATCCTTCATGGCCGCCACTGTGGCCTGAGTATCCTTGAGTGATTGCGCGGCATAGTTGGCCTGTTCCATGTTGAACGACTGGTTGCGCAGAGATTCAGACTGCTGTTCGTAACTGTGGGAGGGGAACGCACATTAGTAAAGTTGCAGTAGTATCTGCTTCTGCACTTACGCTTTCTTTTGTTTGAGCACCCGCAGAGCCTTTTGTTTGACCGAGTTCTTGGCTGGTCCCTCGCGCATCTTGGACATTTGCTCGCGGTATTTGCGCAGCTCCGTCTCCAGCTTATTGATCTTCT